TTTGGAAGAATCCTTTTCAGAACTGGGGTTATCAGCACCCATGAAACTTCTTGCCTAGGCCTAAGGGGTGAAAAAGCTCTTGGGGTGAGTGAACCAGTTTCTGGTACAGTAATACAGTGCAGTCAAGCACATTTTCATCCTCATAAGGATACCCCCAGTTCTGAAAAGGATTCTTCCAAATCCTAGATGCCATCTTCACCCCCTCCCCCCTTCCAGAATCACTAGACCCTCTTTCTCTAGGGTCATAAGAGATTCCTAGGAATTTCTGATGCCTGGCAATCGTGTTTATGCTGCTATTTCATCTTCGAAATTTTCAGAGTTCGCTATGTAAGTTCCGCCGCCTTAAATCTGGATGGCGGATCCTATTATTTGAAGATGATGGCAATTTGAAGCGGTCTCCTCTGCGAATCTGTCGTCAAAGGCTATGAAGGTATGCGGATTCAGTGCAGTGCCACCACTGTGACCGCACATCGCTGAGACTTGGGTACTTTACTTTCGATTTCTTGCTTGGCGATTTTTCCGGTTTCACGCAAGCTATCCGCCCTCTCCACCCTCCTTATAAGCGCCGCCACCGTGAACGTACTCATGAAGCATCGCAATATTCCTACAGAGCGTTGCAAACACCTTACCTAAATTTCCCAAGATCTAAGACCTCCCTCGTCTGACAGCAGTTTCTTGGGGAAAGCTGAAAAATTGGCTTGGAAAACACATGAGGAAAAAAAAAAAAGGAAAAGTGGAGCAAGCTGGGAAAACTTAGGAAAATGGTAGGTAGGTAGACAGGATGGGAAAAGCGAACGAACTGAAATGAGGAAAATTCCAGAGGGATTCCATACTCACGCCGCCATTCAATTGCGATGCCCTGGAAGAGAGCTCTCTCTCTCTCTCTCTCCTCCGCCATATTATTAGGTTGTCCGGAAAGGAATGCGCGTTGAATTTTTTGAACTTGTCCATTTTTTCTCTCCTACTATAGAAGATTTTTGGAGACAGTTTTGTCTATTAGAAAGAGATTTTTATTGTGCTTCTTTTGATATATTTTTGTCCATGTCTACTTTGCTTTTTTTGGGGAAAAAAGTTGGGAAGAGCGGGTGCCGCACCAGCTGAGCGACGCAAACAAGGCAACACGAGTGGCAATGGCCGGAATTCTTCTTCGCTCCAAGAACAGCGGTTTTTTCGACTCTATTATTACATCAAATGAGAAAAGGGTCTGCTTCGATAACGCAACGAGAAAAGGACAGTGGTTAGACTCCAGTGACCCTCCAAAACGGACTCCGAAACCTGATATACGCGCAAAAAGAGTGGATGCTCCCGTGTTTGGTGGAATAGCAAAGGTTTGATGTACTTTGAAGTTCCGGAATCGGGTCAGACGGTTACGGCGGACATCTGCAAACACCAATTGAACCGCATGGATCCAGCACTGCGTCTTCAAAGTGTCGAAACGACGTCGACAAAATTTATCCACGACAACGCTCATCCACATGTGGCGAAAATCACTCTAGAAAAAAATTGAGGAATTGGGCTGGAAAGTCCTGCCTCATCCGCCACACAGATCAGACCTGGCACCATCGATTACCATCTGTTCCGGTCGATGCAGAACTCCCTGGCCGAGAGAAAATTCACAAACCGCGAAAAAGGTCCAACTCTGGGTGTCCAACTTCTTTGAGTCGCAGCCGGTCGAGTTCTTCAGAAGAGGAATCCATTTTTGCATAAATGTTGACAACAAGTCATTGATACTAATGGAGATTGTCTTTTGAATTTATCTTGTTTAATTTCGTTTATTATAATAAAAAGTTTTTTAAGGTCCGATACGCCCGCAATTCCTTTCGGACAACCCCTAATAGTAAGGGACTGCGGGCATTCCCGCGAGGGGATCGTTTTTGAAAAGGGTTCATAAAGTAGCATTCCTGCACCTGTCCGAGTGTCTTCAATCGTTGCACATCGGATAATCTTGCACATGTGCACGATTCTCAGGAACATCGCCATGACACACGCTGACAAACGCGCGATTCTCAAGAACATCACCGTGACACACGCCCCGTGATTCTAAGCGACATCGCCGTGACATACGCTTCTAGATGAAGGAGGCTTGAATTATGGAATGTAAGATTTATCGACAAATTGAAGCATGACACATAAATATAGAAAATCTGAGGGTGTTGCAACTGTCATGGAGATCAAAGAGTGCGTGTGTACGCCACCTATAAACGGGCATTGGATCAATAATCGATCCCTCTTCAGAACCGTTTGTGTACTCGGGGGGGGGGAGAATGTGGTGCCACCAGTCGGCTGCATCCCTAGCAGTGAAGTGAATGGGCACCGTGGCTGTAAAAAGGAAGGTTTTTCGTGCAGTGGGCAGGCCAAAAGCGCTTGGACTCCAGCCCTGCTTAGGCGATCGATACACATAATTCCCAAGGACTGCAGAATCGTCGAGTATAAACACAGCCTAAAAAGGCATTGACACTCATGAACCTCCATGACAGCAATACGATTGTAATACACTATCCGTTGCTGAGGAGAAAAGGCGCTAAGTAGTGGCTGAGGCGACGATCGTGGAAACGGCATGAAGAAGTTGATTGGTCGTTGACTGTAGGTGTGTCATCGATTTCAACGCCAGAAAGTCATTTTGTTGTTGGCGTGATTCCTGCGCGTCTTGAAGGGCTTTGTGTAGCGCGTCCAGGACCTGAACGACGGGACTTAAAGACACATTTCGCGAGAGTCAGGTGGGCGGAGACTTGCAACCGTTGAGATTCCCTTACTAACGTGCCCCTCCTCTTCACCGTATGAAGGAGAGCGCCGCTTTTGAGGAGAACGCACATGGCTGTCAGTCCCCGCCCATCCGCTTATCCTCGAGTCTGTCCTCAAGTACAGAATCGGGAGATACGATCAGTGAGAGCTTACCTGAACTACTTCGGTTGAAACAAGTTGTGAATGGTAGACGCTAGCATTCGCTATCGCGTCCATAGCGACCGTCGTTAAACAGTCAGCACAGTCAGTGATTTCAGCGACAGCAGCATCCCATTTCGCAT